GACTTCATGAGATCCACCACAAACGTCGTCTCCTATGCTGACTCGATTGACACTTTCCACGAGTTGCCATGCATCATATGTCAAGTCTGGATGACAACGATCCATCTTTATTCAGCGCCGTTGAATCTAATTTGGCACTCGCCACGCTTAACTCAACTGCACTTTACCCTTCTGTGGCTCACATGCAGCATCAGGGTCAGGTGTCTTCTCGAGCATGGCGTCCTGGACCAAACAATGCATGCACGTTTCGTCGGCGTTGCAGCGCTGCCTAATTGACGATTCGCTCGTTGAAAGTCATGAGACTCGGACCGAGCTCGAGTCGCAGACCAAAACGTTTGACAGTCGGATTTTAATTCACGGACGGCTAGCCATGAGCACTTTCTAATGAGGATCCGCAAAGACCACTGTGAAACCATATGAAGCCGAGGTGGTGGCTTGGCTCCTGTGGCACTCCTTCCATCCCAACACCTGAGCTGATCATCATCCGTTTACATATGTAGTAAGAGTAGGTATGCAGCTAAGCTATCGTCGTGTCCTCATGTACAACGGCGGAATCAACGTGTTTGTCGTCACGTCTCACCGTATTTTTGTAATTGGCTGACACTTGACCACACCCCCCACAACCATGCCAGTTGTGGAAGCACGTCTATGTGCAACCGCCAAGAGGTTTCCACAGGTATTTCACGGTCTGCTAAGCTTCCCCGCAAATGGGACGTCACTGCAACCCCGCTTGTGGTGGCACGGTAGAATTTTCTGTAGCACCGCAACAAGCAAGAACGAAAGAAAAATGTCTCAAATGAAACCCGTCCTCACTTCCAATGCTGCTCCTCGTATGTACGCTTCCATCACATGCGGAATATATTAAGAGAACACAGCTGCCGGACCTTACTCTCAGGCCATTGTGGCTAACGGCCTCATCTTCGTATCCGGGCAGCTTCCCGCAGATGCCTCGGGAAACTTGATTGAGGGCAGCATCGCTGACAAGACGGAAGCCTGTTGCCGCGCCATTAACAACATTCTCCGTGAAGCCGGAAGTGACATTACGCGCTGCGTCAAGGTACTTACATTTACCAGGTTGAGGACTCTACTGACGACATAGGTCAATGTGTTCCTCGACGACATGGCACATTTTGCAGAAATGAACTCTGCGTTTGAGCGTCACTTTACTCAGAAGCCCGCTCGCGCTTGTGTTGCGGTGAAGCAGCTTCCCAAGTCGGTTCCGGTTGAGATTGAGGCCATTGCTCTCGCAGGTAACTAATCAGACGTACATAAACGATTCATCCATGTTTCAATTCAGAGTCTCTGTAGTGACAACTCCACATCCACTTCACCACCAGCATCCCAACCACAAACATGACTCGACCCAACCTAACCGAATCCTCAACCATTAAAACCTCCATGCTCAACTACCACAAGTTGCACCGCGAAGGCTGCCTAGTATATAACGACCTCTCCAAACGCCCTAGACCTTATCTCACGCAACCGACCCTTCATCATCCGCGGCGGAGCAAAGGACTGGCACACCTACCAAATCTGGACCGCTGACTATCTCAAATCCACACTTGGCCTAACCTCATCCCCATCTCAAGCACACCTTTACATCCCCCCCCCCCAACCCTCACTCACTTACACCTCAACCAACGAGCCCATCTACATGGAACCCTACATCTCTTCCAACCCCTTCTTCCCCTGGTTCACCCGCCTCCTAACTCACGGCCAAACATAGCCAACCGTGGACTTTATCTCCGACGAGGGTAACAATCTCCGGTGTGGCCCGCTATCTCTCCTCCGGCGCGACATCCCCCCAACCCTCCCCTTCTTACCAGCATCCTGCCAACACTCAATATCAATTTCCCTCTCCCTCTCCGACCAACGCGCAATTACGGACCTGCACTCCTCGGCCCACGAAACGTTCTACGTCCGAATCACGGGTACATCGAATTATACCCTCGTCTCCCCCGCGGAAAAAGCCTGCGTGAACGAATCGCCCCTCTTGAGAGGCAAGTACGAAAAGTTGCTCCTGCACAGTGACCCTTTGGAGTGCACCGTTGATGGAAACGAGTATGTCAACCGACCGATTTGGGATCCGGCTTTTCCGTTGAAAAACGCCACGGGATTCACGCCCCTGGCGCGACCGATTTGCGTAAAAGTGTACCCGGAAGATATGCTCTATGTCCCGGCGGAGTGGTTCAGGAAGGTTGAGAGACGGGTAGGGATGCAGGGGTTTAATGCGGCTGTGAGGTTTGGGTTCGGGGTTGATGAGGGGACGTTTTCGAGGTTTGTGGTTAATAACGTTGGGGTGGGGACCCCAATAGGGGGAAGGGGGGTTTCGGAGGGAGGGCTCGGGGGTCGGAGTGGGATGGTTTTGGGGTTGGAGGTTTTGGGGTGGGGGGACGGGTTAGGGGGTTTTCGGAGGCGAGTGTTGGAGGAAAGGAGTGGTTGGAGGAGGGGGGTGATGAAGGAGAGGGTGCATGGTGGATTTGGAGGGAGCGGAAGTGGATTCAATGGGAGAGAGTATGAACTGAGAGGGGGAAATGGATTGACGGTGAGAGTAAGAGGACTGAAACGGTGATGGAACAGGGACATAATGAGGGAATATGAGATGTGCAGGGCGAGTGGTTTGTGGGGATAGTCTTTTGAATTCTTTTCTGAATTGAGTTGCTGATATTCAGTTAACGTGGGCTGATGCTGCAACCACTTCTTATTTTTCTTTTTTCTTTTTTTAAAGAGCTGAAAGCCCAACTTTTCTATTGAAACGTGAGTACAGAGTCTACATGTTTTTTCTGTATGACGAGAGTTTTACTCGAAAGCCTCTCCATTCCCCCTTCCCAGTTCCCGGTACATCCTCTCACACTCCATCGGCGTCCAATTCTCCGCTGAGCCGAGCTCGGCCATCTACAATGAAATCGTCAGTCAAACAAATCAACAACGGTGGTCGGGTGGGTGGCAAGCAATAACCATCCCCCGCCATGAAGATTAACCCACCTTCTCCGCAATCCAACTCCACTTCCTCCCCTCCCACTCATTCACCGCCCTACTCAAATTCTCCACATCCCTTTCAGCCCAAACCCTCCCCTTCTCCCTCAACCGCTTAAACCTCATCTGCAATGCCGCAATCTGCACATTCTGGCCCGTTGCCCGATTAAACTCAGCCGTAATATCCTTCCATTTCAACCCCTGCCCTTTCAAATTCAGCAAAAGCCAATCTTCCAGGGAAACCCCGCTCGCTGAGCCGTTGGGGAGGGTTGCGATTCCGCTTCCTGATGGGCGGGTTATACCCAGATTCGTGGCTGCGGGTGAGGGTGAGGTAGAGTCGCTTCGCGGGGCGGGAGTTGACCTTGATGAGGGCGGATCTGGGGTTTGGGGAAGGATACTTCGCGTTGGGATTTGTGCAATTTGATTGTATACCGGTACAGGGGTGGAGACGCTTCGCGTTGTGCGCGTTGCTGTGTTTTGCTGTGGGGGGTTTTCGAATTGGATTCGGATTTGGGGAGTTTGTTGTTGTTGTTGTTGTTGTTGTTGTTGTGGCATGGTGTATGGATTTGTAATCTGAGGAGAAAGGATTTGTTGTTGGGCTGGTGCGTGGACTGCTCTGCGCATCATGCCGGAACATGATGATACGGAGCGCTGGCGTTTGGGTGTTGACGGTGGCTCTTCGCCGAGACACGTTGATCGTTTGCGGAGGATGGGTAAGAGGCCTGTGGCTTGGATTTGGGAGGGTGGGGGTGGAGAATGGCTTATGAATGATGGGGATGTGTGTTCTGTCCCGATGCCAGATTGGGGCAGGGCTTCTTTCAGATGGTAAGGGATCTCTTTGGGCAGTTCGAGGTTGGGATCGGATAGAGGGTCAAGCCATTCTAAGGCGTTCGTTGTGCTTTCCGGTGGGAACATGGTTCCCACGGAAGAAGCATTCTCGGTACCTTGTGTCCAGTCTTCGAGTCCTACGGTCCAGTCGTCTAGGGGGAAGTTTGCCCAAAGGTTCTGTACACCAGAATCAGTATTATTCAAAAGTCTTCGTAAATAAACTCACGACTTCTTCGTCTGTCATACCCAGTGGCGGGATATTTCCGCGCTGTTCCTCTCCCATCACCAAGTTATGATATTCGTTCCTGAAAAGATCGTTGGTTGGAGTAGGAACGAACATTTGTTTGCCTAGACCAACCCGGATTGACCAGTCCTATAAAACTGCATATGGATGCATCGCCCGACTGTGGCTGAGTAACTAGATCTAAATTTAGATTACAAGGCTGACATTGAGCCTCTAGGATGAAACCGCCAATCCCTGTAATATGGCTGTGAGCTGGAATGGCCGACGGCTGCGGTCCAATGCAAGCGAAAATGGTTTCATTCATTGCCGTCACAACTTCTGGACCAGTAGATATAGGAGGACTCCTGAATTGCCGATGAATTGGGCTTCATGTCGCTGCACACGTGGCTGCATGCAATCATCTCCCCCAATGTGCACTTCTTCGTGATCGTATGATTGTTTCAACCGACTGACAGGGTATGTTGAACGCTGAGATCATTGGACTCGGGCCGCGCCATCCAGATACAACAACTCTCCCAAACGTTGAAGTTTGAGCCTTTGTTCGGAGCCCGTTCTATAAACATACCATTGTTGGTACACTTTCGCTCAAGGAACGTTGGTTTCGCAGTCAGCCTACAAGTCTTCACCGACCTTTCGATGCAGTACAAACGTCATGCATTTTGCCTGAAATCAATGAAAAAGTTCAGCACGAAAGACTCTGATTGGACGCTTTTTACATGTACCTGACATTGCGCCTAATCTCCTGGTAGCCAATCTCATGCGTGATGTGTGCCTGTGCCTGAAGGAGCAGTAAATGTTTCAATTAGGTTAACGGCAACAGTGGATTGCAGCACTGCCGTGCCGCATCAACCACCTGGCTTGCGCCATTGGAATGAAGCAAATTGCGGGTTAGTATAGCTACATATAGAAGCATGTTATATATCTTACTAACCATATGATTTTCATACAAAATGCATTGGTGGTTTAGTGGTATAATGGTCCGTTGCCATGAGTCATGATCGGACCGACCCGGGTTCGATTCCCGGCCGATGCAATTGGTTTTTTTTCTTTTTCGAGCTGCATCTCGTCAGAATTTGCTCTGATTCGTTATCCAGTGTAAACTGAGAGTTGGCTGCGGAACTTTCAATTTGGAGGATGAATGGGCGAATTGGACATTATCTTCGTCATGTCGTAGTCGCTGATGCTTGGTGTGCGTGTCATAAATTTCAAGTATGAATACTGCCAATGTACCTTTGTCTCTGTCACCTCTGATATTGTTATGAAGGATGTAGCTTGATTGTGCTACCTACGGTAAGTTTTTGTTTGGCCCCACTTGAAACCCTAATTCCGACGTTGCTTTTCTACCACTGTGACAAGTATCAAAATCGAGTCGTTCTGCCTCATGTACTCCCATCTCTATCGTTTACACTGCACGTCGGATTCAAAAACAGATAGGACCTTCGTGACTAAATTTCATACACTCGAGAGGTTTTCTTTCTGCGGCTGACGCTGAAACTATGTCAGAAGTCTGCCGCTTGCGGAAGGATTGTTGAGACCGGACAAGCCTCCGAATAAAGAAGATGATGATATGAAAGGATTCGAGGACAAAGTCCTCTCATGTATCTAGTCGGGAGGGTTTCCTCCAAGAACATCATTCGTCTAGAGATATTTACTTTGCTCTCTACTAAGGTATGAGTCCTGTCCTTCCTCTCTGACAGACTATGCTTCATTTGAGATATCCACGGAGTGATACATGACTTGTAGGCCCTGTCGTTGCAGGTGCCCCTGGTGTTGAAGTGAAAAGGTAACCTACCCGTTGTCGTGGAAAGGTAGATATTCTCCCCCGGGGATATTAGGGAGAGGTTGATAATACCAGTGGCCCTCTTTGTCCAAACGCAATGGGATCTTTGGCAGCACAATAGAGCCTGTGCGAATGTATATTAACTCGATATCCCTTCAACGTTAGCCTCTTTAGTCAATCTGGCTTGAATCCTTCTATCTTGTCAAATGCAAAAACCAAACCGAGATCAATGGCTCAAGTATATCTTCTTCTCAACTGGCCCATGCCACTCAAATTGTCGGCAACTCAATCTTGGTGTTTCATGTTTCCCCTCAGCTGAAGACTAACACTCGCGGGACAAATATGAACCACCCGCGTGGCTGTCGCTGCCTAAAACTTGTGTTGGTGTGATAAGTGTAAGCTGTGAAGAACATTTTCTTACTGATCGATCCGCTGGCCCGAGGGACGGATGCGGAGGATGGGATCCCCTGTCACATAATCGGGCTGTAAAGGTCCGATCTCCGATCGTTGATGTCACTGCATTATTCACCGATTGTCGATCGTTTGACCAAGGAGGCTTTTGTGAAGTGAAACAGGAAAATGACTGTAGCTGGACATGTCAGGTGTATGTCACGGTTGGTGACTTGCCATCACACGATCTTCATTTAAACGATGAATCCAAGTGGCACACTCTTGATGTTTCAAAAGAGAAGGCGAGCTCCGCTATGTACCACCATGTAATCAGATCGTCCTACGACCCATCTTACGTATGCAAATCTCGCGGACCGCATTAACAACCCCTCACTTAACTTCTAATCATCTATCGTCTATTCCCATCCCCCTCAACAGCCCAAGCTCTAACTCCCCATATCCAGCTCAACCCACATCTTCTCACACTCATCCGCGGACCATTGCTCCTGGGAACCTAGTTCTTCCATCTAACCCCCATTAGCATTATATTCCAAAGAAAATTAAAAATTATAAAACTCACCTCCTTAGCAACAAACACCCACCTCTCCTCCTCCCACAAATCCACCGCTTTTGCCAAATTCCTCAGATCCTTCTCCGTCCAAATCCTCCCCCTCTCTCTTAAGCGTTTATACCTCATCTGCAGCGCCGCAATCTGGACCGTATGTCCGCGAGCCAGCGCGAACTTTTCTGCGATTTCCTTCCATGGTAAGCCGGATGCTTTGAGCGATAAGAGGAGCTTGTCGTCTTCGGAGAGGCTCCCTCCTGAAGGGTGTGTGCTGCGGTGCGGGGGGGTTGGCTTTTTTGGGTTGAGAGGACGAGGGGGAGGGGAGATGCTTCGCTTTTTGAGACACGGTGTGGGGGATGGTAGGGTGTTGCGGTTTGTGGGGGTGGGTGCGCTGAGCGTGGGGACGCAGATTTGGGAGTGTGGTTGGATGGGCAGGTAGCTTTGAGTGGGTTTTGAGAGGAAGCTATGGTGTTCTGATGTATTGTGAGGTCGTTTGGGTGCTTCTGTGAACTCTAATGGTGCGGATGAGGAGGAGGGTGGGTTGTTGCTGGGGTAGGTGAAAGCTGATTGAGGGGTGAATGGTGGGTAAGGTTGATTTTTGAGAGGGATATCCAGGGGTGTATCAAGTGTTAGAGGTGTGTTCAGAGTATTATCGGATAAAGTGCTGAGTGGGATTTCCCGAGGGATGTTTTGAGGTAAGTTGAGGTTGTCCGCCGGGGAAAGGTAGTAAGTGTTGCTTGTTGGAACAGCAGCTGCTTCAGGTTGCTTCTGAGGAACATCCTGAATCCAATTCTCCAATACGACAGGCCATTCCTCCAGTGGCAGAGTGGCCCAATCCAGCTGTTTAGGTCAATACTAACCCTAACACCATAAGGAGGAAAACCTTACATTTTCTTCGACGTTCATTGGTACCTGTCCGCTCGAGTGAAAATCGTTATGCGCACACATTGCTGGAGCATCATGCTGGGGTATTTCAATGTACATAGAAGTGTAGATAGCATTGCAGGCTGTGAGGCTGAGTCTTTAATCAGAGTTTAATTATAGTGATTTGAGGCTGTCACCGACACACAACCAGCCTCATACCGCCGTGAAACAAACTCACATTACGTCGCGAATTTTTACGACAAAGCTGCCTCACGTTCAATTAGGCGCACGGGTCGCACTATCACTTTTCGATGGAAAACGGTGACTTGGACCAGGGCGCATTCCCACACATCGCCGCGTCGAACTTCTGGAAGCTCCATCCCTTCGGGGCGCAGCATGCGCGCATCCATATTTAGGTCAATTAGTAGACACGAGGCAGAGATTCGTGGATGTAAAGCCAGCAATGGTATATGCACGTAGACCCGACACAGCGGGACCGTTGTAGAAGGCAGGTTCAACGTGGCAATTTCTTTTGAAGTCAACACATCTGTTGCAGGCACGTGGGGGAATGGCAGAGTGCTGGTGCCTGGAGCAGAATTGGACGGATGACCGGGAAAGTGCAAAATTCGAAAGACCAGCATGGCCATCCAGAATTGCTCACTTCGAGTCTTGGCTCGGGCGATGGTAGCTTCGCGAGGCTGCATCGAGACCAGCATCTCCTCCAATACCTGACGGCTAAAGGGTAAGACGCGGTCATCGGTGATAAGGCTTCGTCCCGTGCGCGCTTCTTCCCGCAACGCCGCTTCAATCTGCCAATGAATGATCATGTCGCCATACCGACGCAGCGGGCTCGTTGCTTTTCCGTAGCGGTTCATGCCCAATACTTGATGGCGAAAAGGTTTGGTGGCTATGCGTGTTGTGCCAAACGTTTCCATGTACTGCATGCCAAGATGCATGGGATATGTCCCTGTGCCATTGGCTTCCAAGACAGGCTTAATCTCCTGCTCCCAGAAGACGTCGCTCGGGGTACGATCTGGCATGGGTACACTCCCTCGAAACACACCCGGCACCTGCCTTTCTTCGCAGAAAGTGGCGGCTACCTCGCACGCAAGCAACATATGTTCCCGTACCAGAGTGTCTACGGGCGTGTCGGATTCGGCAAACCAATTCCTCAAGCCTGGTGTACGCAACTCTATGATTGGATCACCGTCCACTCTTCGTCCGCCTCTTCGATAGGGATATTCCCACGCCAGGCCAGGTCGGCTCCATCCTTGCCACACTGACACTTCTGGCTTGCCAGAATCGAATATAATTCCTCCAGCCAGCTGTCTCTGCTCCATCCTTTTGACTGCCAGCTGATGCAGCCAGCGCAACTGCTGCTTTTCTTCGGGCCCTACTTTGTCCACAAAGCTTTCATACGATGGCGGCGGCGGCGGTGTACCCCCTACACGGAGGACCAACATTTTTTTCTCAGTCGTGTCATCGCTGATCAGTGGCTTCGTCTCGGCAGGAGTTAGTCTCATGACGTTCCTTACGATTCCTGACCTCACGCGGTACTCGAGCATCTTACCGCTAGCATCCAACTGGGCAGAAAATGTCAAGCAGCGTCTGTCGGGTGCGAGACCGAAATGCTTATCAGTGGCCCAGCGTGGAAGCATAGTATACGCTCTCTCGGGCGTGTACACCGTCTCCCCCATCAGCCGGGACATTTTACCGAGGGGATGATCAGGGCCAAAGCAAGCGGTGGGGTTGGCCACATGGACGTGAACCCACCACTTGTCATCTGCAATCTTTTCAATGGATAGACCGTCATCAATCTCATGGGCCCCAGCCTTGTCGATGCAGTAAACAGGCAAATCACCCCAGTCGTGGCGGAGATGAGCCATGGAATCCTCAAATTGCAGGTGCGATTGAGCCATATTCGCCAGAGTGAGACCAAGATCTTGAAGAGGTTTGCTTTGCAGCGAGTTTGGGAGGACTAGTTGTGTATCAAAGGTCACACGATTCGCATAAGGCATAATCGTGCCCAGCTCTTGCAGAAAGACGATACCTACCCAACGTTCAAGTGGGTAGTTTTCATACATGCCCGTAGCTTGCAGGATCAAAGGTGGAAGAGCCATGAGGCGCGGCTCGTCTGTAAATTGACCCGATGGACCCCAGGCCTCCATGAACCGCACCAATTCGCTCTCCTCGTTGTTGAAGACGGGGTTCAGCCGTACTTTGACGCAATCTTGTTTTGAGGTCAAGGGGATTTGAATATTGGATGGGCCAACATTGCCGCACAGAGTAACATCTCGCGTCTGACGGCTTTTTTGGATGATTTGTTGACATTTCTTCACGAAATCGTACACGTTCTGGGCACCGCGAGTTGGGCGATGCGTCTGCTTCTTTGCTGGCGACAAACGAGATACATATGCCCGATCATCCTGCCATT